CTTGGGGTTTAGGGTTTAGGGTTTAGGGTTTAGGGCTTAGGGTTTAGGGTTTAGGGCTTAGGGTTTAGGGTTTAGGGTTTAGGGCTTAGGGTTTAGGTAAGAGACCACATCAAGGGCCCATGAAACTACCCTTAGAGGTTTCGGGACAGGGGCTATGTACGGGGCCGCAGGGTTCGAGCTTCTCAAGTTCCCGGGTTGAAGGCTGCAGGGTGCAGACTCGGTGTTCGGGGGATAAGGTTTCCGTATGAAGGGCTTGGGGTTGTGCTGCCCTAAACCCTAAACCCTAAACCCTAAACCCGAAACCCTAAACCGGAAACCCTCCCCTGCCAAGTGCCTGAAGGGACCGCTGCTCGGAAGAGTCCCTTGTCGGTGGCAAGGTCCACCTTTCTGCTTCCGTTCGTAGGGTTTAGGGTTTAGGGTTTAGGGTTTAGGGTTTAGGGTTTAGGGTTTAGGGTTTAGGGTTTAGGGTTTAGGGTTTAGGGTTTAGGGTTTAGGGTTAGGTTTAGGGTTTAGGGTTTAGGGTTTAGGGTTTAGGGTTTAGGGTTTAGGGTTTAGGGTTTAGGGTTTAGGGTTTAGGGTTTGGGTTTAGGGTTTAGGGTTAGGACCGACTTTGGACAATTAAAGTTGTACCCTTGGGTGTTGGGGACCAAAAAAACACCCGTAAGGGATATAAGGGCCATAGTAGGAGTATATTAACAAAGGGAACAACCTTAGGGGTACGAGTTTGGGGGGTTTACGGTTTGGGGGTTTGGGCTTTGGAGGTTGGGCTTTGGGGTTTAGGGTTGAGGGGCTTGGGAGTTAACCCTAAACCCTAAACCCTAAACCCTAAACCCTAAACCCTAAACCCGGGTTTACAGGGTTTTAGGGGCTCAAAGGTCTTCTGGGGTTTTACGTTTTAGGGTTTTAGGGTTCAGGCTTTACGGTTTTGGGCTTAAGCAGGGACTTTAGGGTTTAGGGGCTTTAGGGTTTGGGATATGCTTAGGGTGCAGAAACCTTGGGGATTACACGAAGCCTAGAAACTCTGATAGTCAGTTCTCTCACTGTTTGGGGTTGCGATGACAACACGGAGCCTGATCTTGGGCCAACAAAGGGGCTAGTAGGGACCTGGCCTCCTGGTACATGCACTTAACCCTAAACCTCGTGACCCTTAAAGCCTAAACCTTTAAACTCTTACTCCCCAGGCCCCTAAACCCCTGCAACCCTAAACCCCTGAACTCTTAACCCCTAGAACCCAGAGCCCCTAGACAAACCCCTGAATACACCCCTAAACCACTAAGCCCCGAATCCCCTAAACTCCTAATTTTACGCGGCCGAGCCCTCCTGCCTCAATCGTGGGGTTGCCTCGCGAATCCAGAATTTCGCGGGCCTTGAGGGTCCGGATGAAGGCCATGGCGGCTACAAAACTACCGCCAGAAAGTTGGACAAAACAGCTGCGCAGCAAAGGGGCGGTCCCCTTGAAGGGTCTCAACATGTTTCGAGGGTTTAGGGTTTAGGGTCTAGGTTTTAGGGGGATGTAGGTGTCCAGCTTACTGCAACAGGCTCGGGGTTTGCGGCTCAAGGTAGTTCAGGGTTGTGGACCCAAAGAGCCCAATACCCCTTAATTAAGGAAGATAGCTTCAGTTATAAAGGGATCCCTCTTATGATTTAAGGAATATTCCTTCATTAAGGTATTGGGCTCTTTGGGAGGGGTAGCGTGAAAAGCAAGCAGACAACCAGAATCTGACCCAACGCAGTCCGTACAGACCTTCTCCTGCACACAAACACACGAGTCACCGACCCATGAGTCCCTAAACCCTAAACCCTAAACCCTAAACCCTAAACCCTAAGCCCTAAACCCTAAACCGTAATCACTAGACTCCATAAGGCTTTGCACCCTAAACCTTGAACCCGCGAACCCCGATAGATCGAGCATGTCACCACAAAATCAATCAGCAACTCATCATTTCAACACCCTACTAAACCCTCAATTATTGGTTTAGGGTTTAGGGTTTAGGGATTAGGGTTTAGGGTTTAGGGTTTGGGGTTTAGGAAACCGAGCAAGGCGTTCGAACTATGGGACAAGGTGCTGAGGGAGGCAGAGGTTCTGCAGGGATTAAAAAAGCATCGGGGGAGGCTTCTCGTGTACTCCGACCTGCAACCCTTGCAAGATAATCCACACAGGGTTTAGGGTTTAGGGTTTAGGGTTCCTATACTACAGGGGCCCTTAAAACGAATAAGAACAGGAGTTTGGGGGGTTGTTAGAGTGTAAGTTTAAAGGGACCGAAAGGGAGTACTGCTAGTAATTATTCCGACCCCTATATTAGACCCTAAACCTAAGACAATAAAGAGGAAGTCCACAACGTTGATTCTCAGAGCAGTGGAAAACAGCGTATGGCTCTCAAGCAGAAGAACTGAACCTCAGGAACGTGAACCCTGCCAAGAGTAACGCAAACTGGAACCTACCAATGATTACTGCAAGGATGTGGAGAACTAGAGGTTACTCCCCTAAACCCTAAACCCTAAACCCTAAACACTAAACCCTGAACCCTAAACCCTAAACCCTACAACCCTACAACCCCCTAAAACTTGTGCTGGCCTTGTTCGATGTCTCCAGTGCCGCCTCGAAGCGGGACGTCGGATTTGCTTGGAAGGGTTTGGAGATGTCTGATGCACTAATCATGACTCGACTCAACCCTAAACCCTAAACCCTAAACCCTAAACCCTAAACCCTAAACCCTAAACCCTAAACCCTAAACCCTAAACCCTAAACCCTAAGCCCTAAACCCTAAACCCTAAACCCTAAACCCTAAACCCTAAACCCTAGCAGGCTTTAACTCAGGGATCTTAGGTGCTGGGGGGGGGGGGGGGGGGGGCAGTTTAGTAAGGATTTCAATTCACCGGGCCTTGTAGCACGAATTTAACCGTAAACCCTACGGGTATGGAGCTTACTGCCCAGTTCGCTCGAGAAGGTTGTTGAGGTGCGTTTCAGGACTCGTCTCAAAACCCCATCCCCCAAGCCCCAGAATCATAGGCGTGACGTCAACCCTTCACCGTCCATTGGCTATGTACGTGTTACAAGTCCTATGCGAAGATGTCTATGTATGTGAAGACGTTGCGTGTCTGTGTATGTGTGATTTGCGTATGTATGGTGCCCTGGTGACCCCGCCCCTCCCGCCCCCCCCACCCCGCACCACACACGGGTATTTGCACAAGGCCGCGCCATTGTCCTGAACAGCGCTTACGTCCGAATGCCGAAGCTTATCGCAAACAACCCTGCACATGGTCTTCTTCTGCAAGTGATATGTTCATGCTGCATAATAAGGAACCCATGTGAAAAAAACCTACCTCAGGCACTAGTTTCTAGTTCAGTAATCCTGCGGGAGCCTAAACCCCAAGTCTAAACGCTCAACAACAAGCGAGGCTGCCCCAGACTCTTGCAACTGGGGACATTGCGGGGAGATACGCTGAAAGTCTTGGTGTCTTCATGGTGGGCTTTTAGAAAGTTGAAATAGAAGCCCAAAAAACCAAGAGGCATAGGCATGCTCCCATTGAAAGTCAAGGGCCATGTCACTTAACTACACTTCTGAGACAAACTAGCGAGATCTTTACATCTATACCTGCATTCCTGAGGGTTTCCGCAAATCGGGGTACCCTTTCTGGGGGTCCCTTTAAAGGGACTAGCTTTCATTTGGGCAATAAAAGGGGTACCCTATTTGGGGAAATGCATACATACATGCGTGCATACGCTTTGGCCCGCGCCGGGTTGACTGGCGTGGCCCGGATGTACACGGAAAAATCGAGACATCGCTGGATGTCGTCCTGGATGCTGCCAAGGGCTCCAAGGCTAACTCAGAGGGTCCGCTTATGGTACTATTCTGGACATACTACATTAGAAAACAAAAAACAATAGCACATAAAGTTTTGGGGGTACCGAATTCCAGCATAGTACTCTAGTAGACCGGGTAACTCAGAAGACCTGACTCTGCAACGGAGTGGAGCAGATCATGGTCCTAAACCCTAAACCCTAAACCCTAAACCCTAAACCCTAAACCCTAAACCCTAAACCCTAAACCCTAAACCCTAAACCCTAAACCCCACCCCCCACACCCCACACCCCAAACCCTAAACCCTAAACCCTAAACCCTAAACCCTAAACCCTAAAACCCTAAACCCTAAACCCTAAACCCTAAGCCCTAAGCCCTAAACCCTAACCCTAAACCCTAAACCCTACGCCCTAAACCCTAAACCCTAAACCCTAACCCCTGAACCCTGAACCCTGAACCCTGAACCCTGAACCCTGAACCCGAAGGTGAACCCTAAAACCAAGCTGGGGGAAGACGCAGACGCAAAGTCGCTCTCATAATAGCCAGGATGGCCCTTAACACAGGGTTTAGGGTTTAGGGTTTAGGGTTTAGGGTCTTAAACCCACTAAGGGAAAAATACTAAAACACATCCCAAAAGGCCTACATGTACCTAGATGAGGGCTTGGAGGGGTGGTGTGCCATACGTGTGCTCAGGCTCGCGCTACCAGGTGGGACGGCTTCGGCTGCGAGATCTCCACAGAGTACCTCTTCGCAGGTCGTCGAGGGGGATGTGAGGGTTGAGGAAGTTAGGCTTCGGCGCTCTCTTGGGTTTGTAGAGGTAGAGGGTTTAGGGTTTAGGTTTAGGGTTTGGGGTTTAGGGTGTAGAAGTAGGTTTAGGTCCAGGGCTTTTTGAAGTTCAGGGTTTAGTCTCATCTAGTGCTTAAGGCTGTGGAAAAGGTCGTTCTCCCGCTGTACGGCCTCGCAAAAGCCCCACCTAGTTGGTGTAGTGGCTCGGTGCAGTTGGATGGGGAGCAACAATCACGCATGAGCCCTGGACGGAACTACCAGGTGCACGGCCCGTTAAACGCCGTGTAGGATTCGAAGAATTGGCATCTCGTAAATTAGTGATTTTACAGTGCGTTTGTGCTGTTTCCAAGGAATGTCGCTGAAAAAGTAGTGTTTAACATCGCTCTGAAACTACTTCGTCGAGGCCTATTTTCACACAATCGTTCGCAGCTTGTTGAGGAAGTCTGCTGGGCTCAGGTAGCCTTCGTGGAAAACATGCGTACGCCACATCCACTGGTGCACGGTCTTTGGAACCTCCTCATTGAGGGCGCCTTGGACTTTGAGCACCAAGTGCTTCGGCAAGAACTGTTTAAGACCTTCCCAGCTCCTGTCGATGCACTGCGTCCCGGCAAGAGCACTTATGGCTGTACAGGCTGGGGAGTATGGCCGGGTGAAAACTCTTAACTGGTGAGTCACAGGTTCAACTGGAAGGCCACGGGCTTCGGCTGCGGACTGCCACGCAACGTTTCCATCTGGGAAGATGCAGCGTTTTCTGCTTCTTCCTTTGACCAAGTCGAAGAGTTTGGAGGATGCCACCTATGGGTCAAGATTGGCTTAGGAAGGGGATTTCAGGGCCAACACATCCTAAGTATAACTTTTCATAAAAGCAACGGGGTTGATGGGCCCTTACAATTGGGTCAGAGCTACAGTTATTGGTGTGTGACAAAATGGGAGCCTGCTGGGACGACTCGGTCGGCGGTCTGGACTTGGGAAGAGTAAGAACAGGGTCCCCAACCCAGATGTAGGGAGGTCCAGAACGCTCGCGAATTCCCAGGACTGGCACATGTGCCAAGAAACTTTTGGGCATTGGGAGCTTCTTCTTGGCCATTTTCTGGTTGAGCTTCGCAATCTGTGCAGCATAGTGTACATTGCTGCTTCGCACATGAAATTTGCCGATGCAGGTCGCATCCACCTGAAATATTTCCGTATTACGGTAAAGGGTTCAGGGGTTAAGGGTTTAGGGTTGAGGGGTTTAGGGTTCAGGGTGTAGGATTCAGGGTTTAGGGTCGGGTGGACTGACATGACTGCGCGTGTGCCGCCTCCAGATTCCCGCAGAGAGCAGCATTCTGGAAGAGCTCGGACGTGGCGTCTGCTCCGGCGCGTCTGAGAGCGGACAAGAAGTGGCTGGCTTTGCACCGACCGACTCTGGCATGCTGTACCACGTCGGCAGCACGAGGAACTGAGCACAAGTCGAGCTGCGCGTAGACGCAGAGCATGCGCAACAGCACCAGCGGAAGACACCGAAGACCCTGGAAGATGGAGTTCGCATTCCACGGAACGCGGTTTCCACAGCCAGTCTTGAGGCATCGCCAGTGCATGGAGTTCCGAGTCCACTTGAGCGCCGACAATGGAGCCTTTGCAGCCTGGGCACCTTCGGGGCTTGCGCGCAAACTTGTTCTGAAGAAGCCAGGAAGCAGCTTCTTCATGTGTGGAGCACGTGTCTGTAGGCATGGCGGAGGGCTTGCGTCTGCGCACCTCTGCGGCGCTGGGACTGCGCACAACCTCCTGGAGCTTCTTCGCCTTGTATTTTGCCGTGGCGTTCTTTTTGAAGGAACCACTGGAATGCGGAGAGTTGCGAAACTTGAGCTCCTTCCGAACTGCCGTCTTGGACGCCTCCTTTAGAGAAGCCACCTTCTTCAGCAAGGCCCTGAGTTTGTTGGCCGCAAAGGCACGGCAAGTTTCTAGTCTGTGACTCTTAGAGCCACAGCCCGAGCAAGCATGACGCTTCTGCTTTCCCTGACCCCGCGAGGCTTGTCGTACCAAGCCCATCAAGGGAGCACAGCAGGCACACAAGTCGAACTGCGACCTACTAGCGAGAAAAAGGTGTGAGCGGAAGCAATGCAGGGAACGGAGAATCTTGGGACTATACAGGGACTGTGGGATTTTGGAATTTGGGGATTTTGGTATTTTGTGATTTAGGGATTCCGGGACTGTGGGATTTTGGGATTTGGGGATTTGGGGAGTCTGGTATTTGGGGATTTTGGGATTTTGGGATTTCGGGACTGTGGGATTGTGGGATTTGGGGATTTTGGCATTTTGGGATTTTGGGATTTCGGGACTGTGGGATTGTGGGATTTGGGGATTTTGGCATTTTGGGATTTTGGGTTTTCGGGATTTCGGGATTTTGGGATTTTGGGATTTGGATGTTCCCTAAACGTGTAAAGCGATACCGTAAACCGTAAACGCCGAAACCCTCAACCCTGAGCCGTCAACCCTGAAAACGCAGCGTCTTCACGTGGTGCACTGGAAACAAGTGTGGCCAGTTACAACATTCCCAGCCTGAGCTTTGTGGAAGGGGTTGTGGTGTCATGTCTACGAAGACAAAAAGCCGCGGACTCCCCAGAGCCAGCTGAGAGTTTTGGTGATTCTGGGCTTTTGTGCTTGAGGGTTTAGAGGTTGGGATTTTGGGATTTTGGGTTTTCGGAATTGTGGGATTTCGGGATGGCGGGATTGGGGGATTTTGGGCTTTCGGGATTGTGGGATTTCGGGATGGTGGGATTGTGGGATTTGGGGATTTCTGGGATGTCGGGATTTTGGCATTGTGGGATTTTGGCATGAGGCGAACGGATTTTGGGATTTTGGGAATTTGGGATTTCGGGACTGTGGCATTTTGCGATTTGGGGATTTTGGGATTTTGGGTTGACTTCGGCAGCGTGGGATGTTGGGTTTTCGGGCTTGTGTGATGTCGGGTTTGTGGGATTGTGGGATGTGATGATTTTGGGATTTTGGGTTGCAGGGTTTAGGGGAAGCGATTTTGGGATTTTTGTTTATTTCGGGACTGTAGGACTTTGGGAATTGGGGAGTTTTCGGGCTTGTGATGTCGGGTTTGGGGGATTGTGGGATGTGATGATTTTGGGATTTTGGGTTTCAGGGTTTAGGGGAAGCGATTTTGGGTTTTTTTTTGAGTTCGGGACTGTAGGAGTTTGGGATTTGGGGAGTCGGGGTTAGTCATCCCGAAATGACATTTCGCAAATGTCGACCCAAGACGCTAAACCCTGAAGCCTGGCAAGCAGAGACATTTCGAAGGGCAGTGGCGCCGTCGTGCTGTCAGGGATGTACAATGATGTACAGAAACGGTGGTCAAGCCAGACCCGCGGCAGAGGAAGAAGCTTCATGAAGCATGCCGTCAAGCAGCAGTGTTGTGTCATCCGCAAGACTCTGGAATTGCCCCAGGAGGTGACGAAGAGCAGCGTCCGCTTCGTACACCAAGAAGTTGTCTCGGACCTCAGACAAAGCAGCCGCGAGGTCCCGGTGAAAGCACATGGCTGGTTCTCGCCAGCCCGTCAAGGGAAACTCCCGGAATACTCAGTTGCGAAAGGAGAGTCGCACTGGATGTCGCACTGGCGCTGGCAGCTCTGCCGAGACGAACACGCAAACACCAGCATCGCAGTGACACAACGTGGAGAACACGTCGGCCAGCAAAGACAGCTCCTCCACCTCCGTCTCATCCTGTTCATGGGTCAGGTGCCGGCAGAGCAAGTACCGAGTTCGAGTGGCCGCGAGCAGCAGAGGCACTGTGGACTGCTGCCAGTGGCGAAGTTTGGAAGGGAGCAAGAACCGCGTCGCACGCTCTGACACGAGCATAGCCAGGTGCGCAGCATACCATGGGTCGGTCTGTGCAGCCATGGGAGCGGAGCAATTGTCTTGCACGGGGAATGCGGGGCCGCGAAACTGCATTGGAGGAAGCCTTCACAAGTGAACCCCTGTCAACGGCCAACCCTCGACCTGCAACCGCAAGTACCATAAACCCCGAAACCCTCAAGCCTAAACCTGCAACCCTAGACGGTAAACCGTGAAGCCCTAAACCCTGAACCCGAAGCCCCAAACCCTTACAACGCATCAGAGCACTGGAAGCCATTTGCGCGCCAGGAAAGAGCGCCGGTTCAAGCAACACGGCTTCCGTGTTGCAACTGCCATGTAACGGTGCTGCGATTCTCACGCAGCGCTTCTCGGACGGCAGCAGGCAAAAGGCCTTCGTCTCCCTGATATCGCTGGGAGAACCAGAGTCTCTTACCCGCGTGCTGCTGTTTCCAAAGAGGGCAGCGGAGTGTTGCAAACCCCCTGGAAGGACCACTAGAATGACAAATCGGAAACAATGGCCTATCATGCTGCGGGCAGCGCCCATACTTGGACGCCCGCGTGGCAGGCGGACGCTCAGCGACCGCTTCCTCCTCCAGCGCCTGTCTAGCCATGTGCTCGGCAATGCTACGGTCGATCGCACGGTCAGCCAAATTGGAATCCTCACTCAGTCCAGCGAAAGAAGACCAGCTGTGGATGCTGTCTGCGGACACAAAACTGCAGGCATCTGCATCGACTTCCGCGTCAGCGTCAGCCATGGCAGCAGCATTCGACTGCGATGCGTCTGTCTCTTCCTGCACGACAGCGGGGTTGTGTGGAACACAAGAAACTAGAAAGCTTACTCAACTCCTCGCAGCCTAAACACGAAACCCATCCCCAGCAACAGAGGCAGGCGTTCCAGGCCTGCGGATGGTCTGCACGCGAGTCCTCGTGTGTGGAAAACCACCATTCCTTATAGCGTCTAGACCATGGACTGTCGTCAACGTGCGGGGCATCGGGAATGTCGCCCTTGCAGGGAGCGTGCAAACGTATACGTATATTTTTATATCCTGAAAGCGTAAATATATATATATATATATATATCTTGGACATATATATATATATATATATATATCCCGAAAACGTAATAATATGTATACATATGTGTGTATATGCATATATATATATATATATATATATATATATATATATCCCAAAAGCGTCCCCGTCCCCGTCCCCGTCTCCCTAGAATCCTAGAAAAAAAGCAAACTTAGACAACACTTATGTCGAAAACAACAAGCCACAGAAGCGGCATGTGAACGGTAATGGTCCAGGTCGGCATCTGTCCACGAGCGGGCGCTGACACGCAACCGTCGCGGCGGAGTCTGTAGGTCCACATGGTCCACGTACTGCACACCGAAAGAAACCGCGTCCCCCTCCTCAGAAGAAGCCCGTCTCTCTGCTTCCATGGAATGGGAACTGCAAACCTCAGAATCTCCGTCATACTCACATTCTCCGGCCAAAAGAGACGTGTCCAGAGGCGCGTGGAAAATGTCGTTATCCGCGGGCGCCTCCATTGGCTGGTCGAACTCCCAGGTTTCGTCACCAAAATCGTCGATCGCGAGAAGAGAATGCTCACCAAACCCCCGGAGCATTCGAGAAGTCAAAACCTGATGCGCTGCTCGAATCAAAGTGTTCGACACGCAAGCCGACTGAAGGTTCAAACACCTGCCCAGGAGAGCTCGCCTAAGTGACACCAGAACCTTCCATGGCAAGCGACCCTGTCGGCTTTCATTCCACATCGCGTATCGGACAACACGCCCCGCAGCGTCCGCGCGAGGGAGCGTCCAGGCCACATGGCACTCGTCAAGCTCCAGGAAGCTGAAGCGAGTGAGGCCCAAGCAGCCTCGCCAGACAGGCGCAGCAACAACACCAGCATGAGCGCTTGCGAGACTTGCCATCGCAGTGATGGTACTTCAGGCAGATCCATGCTGGCACAGGAGGAAGAAATGCCGAAGGTACACGTAGATTAACAAAAGCAAGTCTTGCCCAACATTGCTGGCATCTTGCGCGTACTTATGCACGTGATTATCCCCCCCCCCCCCTGCTACCCCGCAGAGCAGCCAGCCAGACCAACACAGAAGCAAGATTCGCAAATGGCAGCTCCGGCCCACGGCGTTCTACGGGCCGTGAGCCAAGGACGCGGGTCTCAACCCTAAACCCTAGACATCCCTAAACCCTAAACCCTAAACCCTAAACCCTAAACCCTAAACCCTAAACCCTAAACCCTGAACTTCGAATCCGGCTGGTAGACCACCCCAGCAAAGGAAGAATCCCGCCAAGCCTCGCGCCGCCCCCAAAAATCCTCTGCAACACCTTGAAACCCCGTCAAATCCCCCTGAGTGCCCCGAAAACCCCAAAACCCAAAACCCTGAACCCTAAACCCTAAACCCTGAACCCTAAACCCTAAGCCCTAAACCCTAAACCCTCAACCCGATGAAGCCTGAGGCTGGGTTCCCTGAAGCTTGAAGCCGGGTTTGGGGCTTAGGGTTTAGGGTTTAGGGTTTAGGGTTTAGGGTTTAGGGTTTAGGGGTTAGGGGTTTAGGGCTAGACCCAATAACCTGTGAATAAAAGGGTGCCCTGTTTGGTTTCAAGAAAGGAACCTAAGCCCTGTTGAAAGGGAATAAGGGCCTACTCTGGGTCCTTGTCTTACAAAACTTTTGGGGTGTGAGGGGGAAAAGGGGGCAAACTAAGGGCTACCTAGTCCCCATAAGAAGTCTAAGGGGCCCCCAAGATTCTGAAGTTTGATTAAACCTTAGCCCTCAACTCAACCCTAGAGCTGTCTAGGCTCACCTCCTCAAACTCTACACCCTCAAGCCCCACATTCCGAAACTCCCCACAGCCCTCCTCAGTACCCTAAACCCAAAACTACACCCTACACCCTACACCCTCAACCCCTAAACCCCTAACCCCTAAACCCTAAACCCTAAACCCTAAACTAAACCCTCAACCCTGAACACCCTAAACCCCCCAATGTCAGCCGGGCACTTCCCGGCCGGAATTTCGATCTCCAGCGAGTTTCGCAGCCCTCGCTGCTCGCCGACCCAGAGGCCCTCGGGCACCTGGTCGGCTTGCGACTGGGGGGTTTAGGGTTTAGGGGTTTAGGGCTTAGGGTTTTAGGGTTTAGGGTTTAGGGTTTAGGGTTTAGGGCTAGGGTTTAGGGTCTAGGCTTTAGGGCTTTAGGGTATTAATTAGGGGTATAGGGTTTTAGTGTTTAGGGGTTTTAGGGTTTTAGGGGTTTTAGGATTTTGGGGTTCTAGGGTTTTAGGTTTTAGGGGTTTAGGGTTTTAGGGTTTAGGACGTTAGGGTTTTATGGGGTTTTGGGGTTTTAGGGTTTTAGTGTTTAGGGTTTATGGCTTTTAGGGTTTAGGGGCTTAGGGGCTTAGGGCTTAGGGATCTGCAAGGGGAATAGGTTTGCAAGGGGTTTGAAAGGCTGAAGGGTGGTCTATGTAAGTTGAGGCTTTGGTCAGGGCTTCTGGGCTTGTCCTCGAACCCCTTCAAGCGAAACCCCCCCGAACCCGAACCCTACAAAGAGTAGAAGTAAGCCCTAGACCCTTCTGCTTATCTTCGCCTGTGCAGTCAGTTGCTGCGGAGGCTGGATTTCTGGACTTGAGCAACCCTAAACCCAAAACCCTAAACCGTGCTGCTCTGCTCCAGAGCGTGGCATCTGACAACTCTACGAACAGGCTCCGTTGGCACGAAAGAGAGCAGTCAACGATTCCCCCTCCTCCTTCCCCTCCCCGGCCCAAAGCACAAACCAGCGTTTAGGGTTTCAACTCGATGCTTGAAAACGAACATGTTAAGGGAGTTCTTGGATATGATCTCACGGGCTTCGGCTTCCCGAATCTGGTTTCAGGAGCTCAACACATCCCAGGAAGTATCTGAGTCTCGAAAGTTTGGGCTCAGCAAACCCTATAAACCCTATAAACCCTCTAAACCCTCTAAACCCTATAAACCCTCTAGACCCTACAAACCCTATAAACCCTATTAACCCTATAAACCCTGTAAACCCTACAAACCCTGTAAACCCTACAAACCCTGTAAACCCTGTAAACCCTATAAACCCTGTAAACCCTGTAAACCCTGTAAACCCTATAAACCCTGTAAACCCTATAAACCCTAGAAACCCTGTAAACCCTATCAACCCTATGAAAACCCTAAAAACCCTAAAAACCCTAAGCCCCCTGCCCTAAAACCTACACCGACCGGGCGCGGAGGCGAGGGGCATCCCACACCGAGGATGGGAAAGAGTGAAGGAGCCCTATAAACCCCTAAACCCTAAACCCTAAACCCTTAACACCTTGAAGCCCTGGAGCGTGCTACTGCCCTACACCTATCCTTCAACAAGAACATTACAGCAGAACGCTAAAGAATCTGCATCCTGCACCCTGAACTTCCTTTCAGAACAAGAGAAGCAAGCAAACGCAACATGAAACTCGACCCTAAACCCTAAACCCTAAACCGTAAACCCTAACCCTAAACCCTAAACCCTAAACCCTAAACCCTAAACCCTAAACCCTAAACCCTAAACCCTTGGGGTGCGGGGGGGGGGAGCGGGTTCTCGGAGAGCCTGAAGGGCGATTCGGACCAAGTCCAGCGGTAAGGCCGAGCCAGCCTCGATTGCCGAAGAGCTCTTTCCACCCCCCCCCCCCCCCCCCCCCCCCCCCCCCCCCACTAACCCTTTTGGTTTGTGTGGGTTTTGGGTTTAGGGTTTAGGGTTTAGGGTTTAGGGTTAGGGTTTAGGGTTTAGGGTTTAGGGTTTAGGGTTTAGGGTTTAGGGTTTAGGGTTTAGGTTTAGGGTTTAGGGCTAAACCTTGTTTTTTTTTTTGGGGGGGGGGGGAAGGGTGGTAAGGTTCTAGGGGGCCCTTAACCCTAAACCCTAAACCCAAACCCTAAACCCTAAACCTTACACCCTAAACTCAAATGATAGGGTTGCAATGTTCTATAGGGTTTCAGGGTTCAGGGCTGAAGGCTTGAAACCTGGCAGTTGATGCAAGTGCTCGTTCAGGGCTTCGGTTGCGGGATGTTCCGGTGGCTAGGGCTTATATAGGCTTCATAGGTTTAGGGTGCAGGGTTGAGCCCTCAAATCTAAACCCTAAACCATAACCCTGAACCCTGAACCCTAAACCCTGAACCCTGAACCCTAAACCCTAAACTCTAACCCCTCCCAGAGACTCCAACAGCCCGTTACTAAGGAATATGCCTGCCATTATCATCGGAACCCTAATCTGATTTAAGGTCTATTCCTTAGTTAACTAGTTCATGGTTGGGATAGCATTAAAAATTTAAAATTTTATTCCTTATTGGGTTTAAGTACCCTTAAAAATGTAAAATGTTACCCAACTATGACCAAGTTAAGGGGTTTTCGAGTCTCTGGGCTGAAAGTAGATTCCTTGTCGTTCAGCTACCAAGAAGAGCCTACAAGGAGCCATCCCCTGGGTTTAGGGTTTAGGGTTTAGGGTTTAGGGTTTAGGGCTCCCTATGAGCCCCTGACCCTGAACCCCCGCAAAAGTCTGCCCAAGGATTCCTATTCAGCGGGCTGCCTCCAGGTACAAAACGGAAGACACTGCCACGGAGATGGGTATCTCGACAGGATGATAAGGCTTCAGGTCTCATTCTTACTTCTCCAATAACCAAGGGAAACAAAGGTTAAGTTAAACTTTTTTCAGTCCTCCTAAATCAGGAAACCCAAAAAGATTAAAGTTCAGCTCTTGGAGAGGTAAGAATTATTGGGTCTTTGAAAGCGGTTGTGGTGACGTGGTTTTTTGGTTGTGAGGGTGTGGGGGTGTTTTTTTTTTTTTTGGGGGGGGGGGGGGGGGGGGGAGGCGGGGGGGGAGGGGGCGGGAGGGGGGGGGAGGGGGGGGGGGGGGGGGGGGGAAGGGGGGAAGGGGGGGGGGAAAGGGGGGAAGGGGGGAAGGGGGGAAGGGGGGGGAAGGGGGGGGGGGGGGGGGGGGGGGGGGGGGGAGGAGTTTAAAAGTTTCGGCTGTCAGCCTTGTTTAGGGTTGGGTTCAGGGTTCAGGGTTCAGGGTTCAGGGTTCAGGGTTCAGGGTTCAGGGTCCAGGGTCCAGGGTCCAGGGTCCAGGGTCCAGGGTTCAGGGTTCAGGGTTAAGGGTTAAGGGTTAAGGGTTAAGGGTTAAGGGTTTAGGGTTTAGGGTTTAGGGTTTAGGGCCAGAATTAGAGAACGCAATGGGATCTGCAAGCTCGAAGGCATCGAGCAAAATCTTCTGAAAAATCAAATCCCAAAGCCTCAAACCCTAAAGCCCACAACAACCTGCAGCCCCCAAGCCCTGAAACCCGAAAAAACCCACACAGAAGTCTCGGACGACTTCAGCACTATCAACATAAACCTCAAACCCGCAATCCTAGTCCCAAAAGCCCCCTAAACCATAAACCCTCGGGTCCGACTAGGGCTTCTGGCCTAGAGCCTAGGGTTTCGGTGTTAGGGCTTCGGGTGAAGGGCGGTTGCAGAGGCCTTGGCCAGTCTCCCCTGCATGGACAGGTAGCTGCCACCTAACCTCCCAGGGCCACACAGCTCGTGAGCGGGTGCTTCTAAATGGTTCTACGGGGCGGAGAGGGGGGTCCCACAATCCACCCTCACAAAAACCCCTAAACCCTAAACCCTAAACCCTAAACCCTAAACCCTAAACCCTAAACCGTAAGCCCACCCTAAACCCTCTCTATCCTAGGCGCCACTGATGCCCAGACTTCGGTCAATCGGCCTGGGGTTTGCAAGGAGGGGCCCCCTTACTATACTAACTGTAGTCAAGGGACTTCTAACCTAGTTTAGGATCCTTATAACCCAATTAAGGGCTCTTGTAACTCTACTTATAACTAGGGGGCCCCACCCTGTAGGGGTTCAGGGCCCAGGCCCATACTCTCGACAAGCGAAACCACCGCTTCC